CTGTTGACTCAGTAGTCTCTCCCCAGTGGACATGACCAGTGTTCATTTGGGTCCTCAAGGAACACAAGTAGCAACAACTTTGCCATCAGGCGCCAACTTCCAGTGTCCTCCCTCTGGAATCCTGGAGAGCATGCCGTTGTCCCAGGCCTCCCGCACCCCTCACACACCTCTACCAGCAGTCCCTGCACGATGCCCAGTGGTTATCTGGTCATTCAGAATCCTGTTCTAAATCCGTCTTCGCAATCAAAAGAAAACACGCAGGCTCAGCCCTGGCTGCATATTATAACCACCTGGAGGACTTAGAAAAATGCCAGTGCAATCCTCCAGAGTGTCTGCTTTGGCTGTTTTTTCTTTGAAACAGGGTTTTGCTATGTAGCTCAGGCTGGCCTCAACTCACCATCCTCCTGCCTCTGCCCTCCAGGTGCCTGTATCACAGGTGTGTGCCACCACGCCCAGCTAGCGTGATCCACTTTTAATTTCCCCGACTTAGGCGTAAACTACTCTGCTCCAGAAATCCCAGGTCACCTGTTTCTAGCTACAGCACCTTGGCTGATTGGTGTCGTCTCCAAAGCCTTGGGGTCCTTGTCTGTGCTATGGAACAGATAGCACTTGCCTCCCAGAGGTGCTGGGAGGATTAAGTGAACCACAGGAAGCACCTGGAACCTAATGTGCTAACCACAGTGCTTTAATCAGAACTTGAACCAAGAGCTTCCTGAGAGCCAGACTGCGCCGTAGGCTCTAGGAGGAGTTTGACTTTCTTTCTCAGTGGATGAGTGTCGACATTAAGGAAGAAATCTTAGATACGGGCAACTGTAGCCTGCTGTGGCCCCCACCCTAAGAGGACTACACCCTGCCCATGCTGTCTGCTCCTTGCCTCATGCAGTGAGACATCCACAGGGACCCGGTGCCATGGTCCCCAGGAGGGTGCATAGTTCAGCCGCCAGGCGCCAGGAGCCCTGCCTGAGCACTCCAGGCACGCCTGCCCACGGACAGGAAACCACGAGCCCAGTTTGCAATTCTGACCACAAGCCGAGCTTAAAGGAGGCTATTGGAAGGTCCTAGAGGGTAAGGAGGATCCATTGGGCTTGAGCACTGGATGTCTACAGATGTGTGCAAGGTCCCCCACCCCCACGAACCAGAGCTGGGACGTTCTCTTGCTCTGAGCCCCACAAATGTTAGGGGTTACTGTGACCTCAGTGCTCATTTTGCAGCAATCCATCGAGCTGAATGAGCACTTTCTGGAATGTTTGTGCTTGTTATTAATTTTGAAACCTTACTTTTAAAATCAAATGCTTAGCTTCATGCCTGAGCCATAATAAGTACTTCATAAATATTAGTGTAGCAATACCCAGATGGACTTGCTACAATTCAGATGTGCTCAGACACGTTGCTTAATAGCAGGATTGGGAGAGGAAATTGCCAATCCAATGAAACTTGGTTTCCTCCAGCTTAAAAAAACAAACACAAAAACCAAAACCTCTTTTCAGGTCTTCTCCTGTAGCCTGGTTTTCTCCTCTTCATCCCAGGAGGTGTCTGGGCAAGGGGGAGGCAGATGGCATGGATATCACTGTGATGGTGGGGTTGGGGGGAGGGGAGAGGTCTGATCTGCCTGTGCTGCAGGGGGAACAGCAGCTGGGCACTCCCTGATGCCTGCACGGGGATCTCTACCATGGCGCTGGGTGCAGCAAGCTCCACCCAGCTTCCAGCTTGAACCAGAACTCTCAGAAGCCATGCTGCCCCTCACACCCCCAGGCAGCCCCCGGGACTATGGGAGCCCTGGGTTCTCAGCTCCCTTGTTGTCTTCTGTTGCCAGTAAGAGGGTAATGGGGAGAAGGTGCACAGTGCAGAGTGCTCGCTATGCACCCAGCTCCTAGCTGGGCTTCCATGCACACCTTGGTGGTCTCAAAATTCTCATTGTCTCCTCTCTCCTTCCCTTTTTCAGGACTGGGAATTGAACTCAGGGTCTCAAGCTTGCTAGGCAAAGGCTCTACCGCTTGAACCACATCCCCGGCCCTGTTCAGGCAATTCTCACAAGATAGGAAGGAGACGTTAATGAGCTGAAATGCGTTCTCCCCAAATTCCTAAGTTGAAGGCCAACCCCAGCGTGATTCCGTATAGACACAGGGTCTTATGTAGGCAGTAAGTAGTAAGTCAAGAGGTCATAGGCTAGGGTCCTAATGCGACAGAATCAGTGTCATTGTAAGGAGAGGAAACGATGGCAGAGAGCTTTCTCTCTCACACAGAGGCGACACCATCTCCAGACACCAAATTTGCCACTTGTCGATCTTGGACTTCCAGTCTCCAGAATTGTGGGAAAATAAGTGCCTGTTGCTTAAGCTACACCATCCGTGTGTTACAACAGGGAAAACCCTCATTTTATGAAACTAGGCTCCAGAATCAACTCGGATGTCAGGCAGTCTGTTCGAGCAGAACCACGGCCCCTCCCTAGCGAATCTCCCTTGCTGCTTGTCACTGAGGGAAAAGCCTAGATAAACTGTCTAGCTTCACTTGCTCTTAGTTGACATTGGAAAATGGCTACTTTTGGAGGTCACACAGCTGGATAAAGCACTGTCAGCTTTCCCCCGCCTTTGCTGTATGTAAAGCTTCTGCTGTGTCACAGGCCAGGATAACAGGTGCCCAGGTTACTTTTCAGGGACTTGGAGGCCATTTTTACTGAAAACACTGGCTCTTCACTTAGGCCTGCATATGTCCAGTAGGTGACTGGAATGCAACGAGAAGACCTGGCATCTCTGTCCCCTTTGCTGCCTTAACCTTTGGGTCAGATCCTTCTCGGCTCTGCATGGGAACATGTTGATTTTCTCCACCCTGTCCTGGGGAAGCAAGCACCCATGGGCCTTATGGAGACTGAGCTGGCTCTGAGGAAGGCTGGGTCTTGTGTCTCCTCCCTTCCCCCCGACACCCCACCCCCCCATGCTTCCTTCCTGGGTGCCGGCCACCTGTCACCTTCCCCGGGGATGCTCATCTCAGCTACTAACTCGTCAGACTAAGATCAGAGAGGACTCTGCAAAGCAATGCAATCAGTGCAGACTTGAGTGAAAAAGACCCAGATTTTGGAATCAGATGGACAAGGGTTTGGTTTCTGGCTATGAGCCTTATGGGACTAGAGGTGTGGCTTAAGCAGTAGAGCGCCTGCCTCACAAACTCAAACCTCAATTCAGACTCCAGTCCCACCGACAACTAAATAACAAGTAGGAATGACTCTCGTCTGCAGAGCTGTAATGAGGATTCCGTTGTTTAGGAAGGCGTCTGCTTTGAGGTTTGCAGGCATTTAACCCCATGTACCGTTCTCCAGTCAGTCTTACCAACAGGGCCGAACTGTGACTCTCCCTGAATTTTGGTCCAGGGGGTGGGGTGGGGTGGAGAGGCAGCCACCTTTTAAGTCTGGTTTGCCCATTTTGTCGTTGTTCCAGGAAGTATACCCTGGGACAAAGCAAATTAACCTTATCGTCGTCCAAGCACGTCTTTAGGATTAAGCCTTTTTTTTTTGATGGTACTGGGGTTTGAACTAAGCGTGTCTTTTAGGAAGGTAAACCCACTGTGAACAACACATTAGTGAGCAAACATTGCCTGACTAGGTGTCAGTGACCCTGCTAACTGACAGTGGGGATTTGCTGAGTTAGTGAATGAATGAAAGGACACTGAAGGTCTGCTCTGGGGAATTTAACAAGCCTTCTCAGCTATTTGGATTTGTAGCGGGGGGGGGGGGTTGTTTGGTTTCATTTGAGACATCTTGCTATGTAGCCCAGGTCAGCCTTGAAGAGCTGGTGGAGCTGTTCGGGTGGAGACCGCCTGCCTACCAAGCATGAGGCCCTGAGTTCAAACCCCAGTACTGAAAACAAAACAAAACAAAAAACCTAGGCTGGCTTTGAACTCAAGCTCTTTCTACCTCTGCCTCCTTGAGAACCGGAATCCAGTGTATTGAGTCCAGCATCTCTGTCTCTGCAGGAAATTCCTTCCAGAGAGGGACAGTCTGGAAGTAATTCTGGCTGCTCTGCAGAACTTTGGTGATGTCACTTTGGTGCTGTGACTCACTCCATGCCCTGCTTCTCTGCCTTTTCTCATGAAACCTTAGAGGGAGCCCAAGGAGAAGGGGAGAGAAAACACAAGGAGGCCACAGAGTCCTGCTGTGTGTGTGTGTGTGTGTGTGTGTGTCCCAGTGTGCCATGGTGGGGGAAAGGAGCAAGAGCCTGCTGGTATCAAGGACAGCGGTGGACCCAGGGCCCCACAGAGGGACACTGCAGCTCTACCTCCTCACTGGCTGTGCTGTGTAAATTTGGGCAACTGCCATTTACCTTCAGAAGCCTGCTCCTTCACATGTACTATGGAAATGGTGACAAAACCACTTTGGGGAAATGTGGGGGTTCAACGTAATGGGGAGGGCAAAAAGGCTTAACTGAAGAATAAAGGGTTAAAATTTTATTGTGGCCAATTTTTCGCTCTGAACTGGGTGTAGTGGGGTGCAGCTATAATCTCAGCACTTAAAGAGCTGTCAGCAGGATTTCAAGTTGGAGGCGAACCTGGCTACACCGCATGACCCCGTCTCCATTAAAAAATATAAATGAAATGAAATCTGGCTTGAAGTCCTACAGGTTGAGCACATCAACAGCTAATAGCCTTCCCTGGAGTCAAGCTTGGTCATGTGACCGGGCTAGTACCAGACCTCAGGTACCTCCATCCTTTCCAGGGGGAACTTGAAAAGCTCACTGGGGATGCCTGGTCTCCTCCGGAGACCTGTGATTAGAGGACGCAAAGGGCCTTGGGACTCAGTGGCTGTGTGATCCGGGTAACACAGCGCCATGCTGCTACCTTGAGGGGGTTAAACCCGGCAGTGATGGACTTGCTACTGTAGGAAAGCGCAGCGCGCCTTCACGGATACTCCTGGGTGTGTCATTTTATCTCGTTTAATAGAAAAAGAATGACAAAACAAATCACGCACACAAAACGCCACTGATACATAAGAACACCGGGCCGCGGAGCAGCTACTTGCCGCCGCCCTTGGGGAGGGGCCGGTAGACCCCGACCACCACGGCGTGGTCTCGCTCATAGGGCTCCAGGGTCAGCTGCTCCTGGGGCTTCAGGTTCTCCTGCTGCAGCTTCCTCACCTCGGACGCAAACACGGCCTCGGCCGACGCCGTGGAGTCGATGCAGTTGGCCTTGATGGAGATGAGGAAGTGACCGCCATTGCGCAGGAAGGTGTGCGCGTTCAGAGCCACGATGCGGGACTGGTCGGGCTGGGCCACGTCCGCGAAGATCACGTCCACCATGCCGATGAGCATCCGGTACTTGAGCGGGTGCCGGGCGTCCTCCAGGACCGGGATGATGTTGGTTCGCTTATTGGCCACGTTGACCAGATCGCGGCCGGCGCGGTGGGAAAACTCGACCGCGTAGACCAGGCCGTCGGGCCCGATGATGTCGGAGACATGGGACACCGTGGTGCCCGAGGCGGCGCCCAGGTACAGCACCTTGGACTTGGGCTTGATGTGGATCTGGTCCACCCCGCCCAGGATGGCAGCGGCCAGCTTGGAGCGGAACGGGTTCCACGTGCGGTACTCCTGCTTGGCGCCGTTCTCGGTCACCGTGACGCGCCGCTCGCCGTACACCGACAGGCCGGGCACCATGTTCAGGGTGACCAGCGCGTCCTCCGCCCCGCGGTAGATGAACACGCCCTCGTGCCGGTGCGGCTCCACCGACACCGCGATGACCGCCTTCCTGCGGCGGCCCTTGCCCTTGGTGGCGCCGCCGCGCCGCTGCCCGCCGCGGTCCCTGGCGTCCCCGCCGCCGCGCCCCCGGCCCCGCCCGCCGCCGAAGCCGCGCCCCCGCGCCCCGAAGCCGCCCTTGCCCCGCGCCGCCGCCGTCGCCCCCTCCCTTGCCTCCGCCTCGGCCACCGCCCCAGCCGCCGCCCCAGCCGCCGCGGCCGCCCCCGCGCGCGCTCGCCGCAGACTTCATGCGCCCTGGGCGCACGGCGGCTGTCGGAGCCGCGGGGACCCCGGGCGGAAATCGGGGGTTCGGGGGGGCGGAGGGAGACGGAGCGGTTGTCAGGGACTACGGGGGGGAGCAGGGACAGTCGCTAGGTGTTGAGGGGGCCGGAGCGGTGGCCGAGTTATGGGGCGCTGGGGCGGTGGGCAGGGGGTCCCGGTGAATCTGAGCAGTGGTCAGCGGTTACCCGGAGCCGGGGCGGTGGCCCGGGGTCGCCAGTGGCTGTCCTGGCCGGGGACAGGGATGGATGGCGTGCTTGGCGGTCGTGCAGCTCCGTCTACCGCAGTCCCCGCATCCCGGAGCCGCCCTTTGACGCGGTGACGGCGTGATCGCGTCACGCCCGCTCCGGCGACCCCGGGCCCCCGGAAGCCCCCCTCACCTGTGCGCAGACGCAGCCCGCACCGCGCGCCCGCAGGGGAGGAGAGGGTCCCCGGAAGCGCGTGGCTCTCAGGTCCCGGTCACCTGGGGCAGGTCTCGGGGCGATCTGAACCTCAGAGGTTGACACCGGTCCCCGCACGGCGCATTCTAAGCGCTCTACGAGCGTGAGCTTTGCGGTTTGGATTTTACACGTTTCTCTTGGTCACTCTTTGTTGAGGTGTAGTTTACATACAACAAAACACGCCAGCTTTTTTTATTATTATTGCTTCTGTCCTCTGAGTGGTAAGGCTCTCATCTGGTGGACATGCAAATTAGTTCCGAGGTTTTGACATTTAAATAACAGCACATTCTGACCTAGTTCCTCCTTGAAAGTTTTATCCTAAAGAATGTTCCTAGGGTTAGGAGGTGGCTCAAATACAGGCCTGCCTAACAAGTGCGAGGCTCTGAGTTCAAACCCCAGTGATGGAGGGAGGAAGAGAGAGAGAGAGAGAGAGAGAGAGAGAGAGAGAGAGGGAGAATGAATGAGAGTATGTTGCTGCTGGGCCCAGTGGCTCACACGTGTAATCCCAATCCCAGCTACTCTGGAGATGGAGATCTGGAGGACTGCATTTCCAGGCCAGACCAGGCAAAAAGTTAGCAAGACCCCATCTCAACAAAAAGTTGGGAATGGTGGTGTGTACCTGTCATCCCACTGTGGGGTAGGTGTAAGTAGAAGGATCGGTCCGGGTGGCCTTGAGCAAAAATGCTAAAGAACGGAACTGAAAAATAACTTGCCTTAGCAAGTGTGAGGCCCTGAGTTAAATCCCAGAGGACAAAAAAAAAAAGTCTTGGGAGAAAGGCAATTAGAAGTACAAGGGTGACGGTGGTGGCGAGGGCAGCGGTGACATCACCGTGGAAGCAGCGGAAGAGGGGAGGGAGGGGGATATGTGTGTAGGTATTTAGAAAATAGAATTCACAGGACATGAGGGGGTGATAAAGTAATAGAGGGGATGAATTTGGCCAAAGTACATTCTGTGGCTATATGGAAATATCACAATGAAACACCCTGTACAATTAATATATGCTAATAGAGAAAACAAACAAACAAACAAAAAAACAAACACCACATAGAAAAAAATCACAGAGCTTCTGATTCATTTGATACGGGACGGGAAATTTTTCTGTTTATTACTCGTGTCCTTCCTAGTCTCACCATGGTGCTGGAGACCTAAGGTCTTGTTCACACGAGGCGAGCACTACTGCTGAATAACATCCCCGGCCCGAGAAAAATTTCAAGAGAGACAAGAGACTGCCAAAGGCTCTGGACTTCCTTGCTGCGGCAATGGCCTGCAAAGTGAAGCCCTGGTCATTCCCTGTTTAGCTCTGCCCTACTCCCTCAGCTGTGCTAATCCCAGAACCTGTGCTGGGATTATTGGTTAGAGAGAAAGTGCAGACTTTTCCATGCGAAGGGGCATTACACAGGCTAGTTACCTAATCCTACAGCACACTTCAGCGGGAGCCAAACGTCATGTTTGCCCTGCAGTTTTAGCCTTTGCTTCAAAATCCCACCTAATCAAATCAATCTGCATGTCTTCTTGCTTCTTCCGCATTAAAAAAAAAAAAAAAAAGTCAGCACCAAGGACAGCGAAAGAGGCACCCAAGGTCCTGCTTTAGTAGTTGGTCAGGACCAAGGCCAACGACACCAATTGGTGCCATTTTCACTACTGGTGCCGGTTTGGGGGCTCGAGTTGCAGTGCAGGTGGTGCAAGCAACTGGTCAACCCCCCAATCAGTGGAACTGAGTATGCAGTTCAGAGAGACAAAACACCTGAAGACTGGGACACATTTCGGGGGATTCTGAACGCTCCAGATGTGCACACAGTAAGGCTTTTCTTCCACCCTGGCCCTCAGTCTTCCTGTCTCACATTCACGGACAGCAGTGTCAGGTCTGGCTTTTACTGAGGACCCTTAATGTCTCCATAAGGGGCCCAGAAGTCTACACACTGGGACAAAGTAGCAGAGGATGAGATGCATGGTACCGGGGTGCTGAGTTCACATAAAATACTCTTTAGAGGTTTCTACTATCACTACGAACTGAAGAGTGCTCTCCAAAACAATGACTTCCGCTTGGTGTCTTGGTTTGGGTTTTCCCCAAAATCAGCACTGTGATTAGTTTAATGTGTCAACTTGGCTGGGCTATTGGGTAGCCAGATATGTAGTCAAGTATTGTTCCGGGTGCTTCTTTGAATGTTTTTGAATGAGTTTATCATTTAAACTGGTAGACTGGGTAAAGCAGATTGTCTTCCATCATGTGAGTGGAACTCGTCTAATCAATTGAAGGCCTGCATAAAATAAAAGACCAACTCTCCAGAGAAAAGAGAACTGTCTTACCCAATGGCTTTTAAACTGGAATATTAGCCCTTCCTGCCTGACAACTTTTTTCTTTTTGGTGATACTAGGGTTTGAACTCAGGGGTCTCCCCTTGCTAGGCAGGTGTGCTACCCTTGAGTCACCTCTCCAGGCTTTTTTGCTCTGGTTATTTACGAGATAGTTTCTTGCTTTTTGCCCAGGCTGGCCTGGACCATGATTTCTCCTGTTTTATGTCTGGTGCATGCAAAATGGAGTCTTGCAAACTTTTCCCCCAGTCTGTCCTTGAATGTAGATCCTCCCGATCTCTGCCTCGTGAGTAACTAGGATTACAGGCACCTGGCTCTGCCTGACAGCTTCTAGACAAGGACATTGAAGATTGTGAACTGCCAGACTCCATAATTGCATGATGACACATATGTGGCATCATTTCTTACAGGTTGTTTCTCTGATAACCCTTAATAGACCTGACAGAAAGACCTGGGTCCCTGTGGCTTATCTGGGAGGTGACCCCAGGAAGCATACATAGGGTGGGGAAAACAAGACAGGCCACATCAAAAAAGGTGCATTGATGAGTAGGTTACTACCAGGGGCAATTGGGGCTCAACTGACCCTCTTAAGAACTGCGTGGAAGATGCATCAGAGTTGTTTTGTTGCAGGCCGTGAGGCTAGGCATTAACCTACGACTGTCCCTCTGTTGTTGGGGGTTGTTTCTGGGCATTGACCTCTGACTTCCCATTGCTCCCGTGCATGGTTCAGCAAGCTCCCAGGAAGACACAGTGAGAGCCCAGACTGAGAAGCAGGCACTGGAGGGGAGAAGTAGCCAGTGGGCAGGAAATGGTTTCCCACAACTGCAGCTGAACTCAGAGGTGGGCCTAGGGAGGACGGGGTAAGGTATGCACAATGCCTGCCAGACTTGGCCAGAGCAGCTCATATACAACCTCCATCCTCCTAAACTCAACCTCCTGAGTGACTGGGATTCCAGGTATATGCTACCATGTCTGGGCACAACTAGGATTTTCTTTCTTTTTCTTTTTTTACTGGGGTTTGAACTCGGGGCCTCGCATTTGGTAGGAAGACTCTGCTCGACCCATGCCTCCAGCCTGTTGGTGGGGGGTTGTATTGAGGTTTGAACACAGGGCTTTGTGACTAGAAACCAGGCACTCTACTGCTTGAGCCACACTTAGCTCTACAAAGCTGTCACCAGCATACATTAACATCTTCTACTCTGACCTTTAGTATCTTGCAGGTCTGCAGGCACAATTGAATATGTCTTCTTTCCTTTTGCTTAGCCTTCTACAGCCCAGTCCCCCACAGTGAACCTGCACTATGCCTCCTGGAGCCTGGCAGGGGATCTACATCTAGCACCAAGGAGCTCCCACATTTTCCTTGCAATAGTTGCAATGACTCTGTTCTGTCCTCCAGATTAAGCCTGGGCAGGCACACCCACTGACACATTCTGAGTTGTCTTATCACCTCTGTCATGCTGTCACGAACTCTTTAAGCAGTGGATTTCAAGCCTTGTTGATAGTTCTCAAATGGGCTGAGATTGCTTTCTCATGGACTTGCTGTTGAGAATTCAGAGCTGATACTCTCCTGCCTTGCCTTGACCTGCTGGATGGAGTCCATGGCGGGGGCACTCGTAATTACAAACTCTGACCTAGTGAGCAGCAGCTTCGTGAATTAGAGTTGCACTTTGAGAGTGTTTACTGTAAACTAGCAGTTGCAGAGGGCTACCTTGCTTGCCCAGAAGTGACAACTTTTCAGATGGCAGACCACTGCTGCTCCCGGATGCCCATCAGTTTCTTCAGGTCACTGCTGTCATTTTCATTAATCATCTAAGATCCACTCTCCCTCAAGGTATGCAAGCCTAGGTGGCTTTCTCAGTCCTCATCACTGACTCATTTCTTTTGTGTGTGTGTGTGTGTGTGTGGTACTGGGGTTTGAACTCAGGGCCTACACCTTGAACCACTCCACCAACCTTTTTTTGTGATGGTTTTTTTCAAGATAGGGTCTTGTTGAACTATTTCCCGGGGCTGGCTTCAAACCATGATCCTCCTGATCTCTGCCTCCCGAGTAGCTAGGATTATAGGTGTGAACCCATGGCCCCCAGCCCACTGACTCATTTCTGAGGACAGCCTTGTAACTGATACAATCCAATTTTGCAATCTTCTTTCTAGCCAGAGGTGTCCTTTCCCTTGGTAGTGCTTGGTGACTCCTGCATAGTTTGTATCTGGGCTTTGGTTC